CCCTCGCCACGATCATCCAACACGACCAAGATCAAAGCTCCGTCGACACTCGTCCGATACACCATCGCATAAAATACAAAATGTCCGCCGACCTTCAGTGGCTTCTCATCCGAAAGTGGAACTCTTTCCAGGTCAAGGGAGGACAGGGTCCTACCTTCTCCAAGGAGAAGGTGAGTCGGGATGTGATGAGATGGTTTGATGCGCGTGCAAGGAGGGTGTTGTGGGGGTGGGGGGGTGGAGAAAGGGGCGGGACGGGGGAGGAAGCGTTGGGAGGGGTTGTAGCTGGCCGGGCCGCGAGGATCGAGCGTATTGAGGATGGGAGCGAGAGCAAATTGCGGCTTAGGGGTACAAAGGGCATCTGGTCTGGGTGGACAGGAAGAGCATGGGGCAGACAGGAGTCGCGCGCATCAACCATCAGCCGTAAACACAGCTCGAGACAGCTTGACTGACCCCCCTTCCTCCAGGGAAACCTCCTCAACCGACACTCCCACAAGTTCTCCGGTCTCGCCAACTCCAAGGTGATCAACATCTACGCCAACCCCGAGGGTGCCATCACCATCACCAAGGTCAAGGCCGACGCCAAGCCCAACCAGGTTAGTGGATGTTTGGGGGATCCAGGTACGGAGGGAGAGCACGGGATGCGAGGTGGACTGCGGGGGCACCTTGTTCTCTGTGTATGACCGACCCACGAGGGAGCAGTAGGATGGAGGGTAGCGCGTGGGGACAGCGCGTTGGGCTAACGCCCAGGTCGTCTTGCGAACTCGAGCTGATACCATACCTTCTACCCCAGGTCGCTTCCGCTCGATCCCACGTCACCCTCCGACGATCCACCGGCCCCCGACGAGCCAACAAGATCGCCGCCGCTGAGACCGCCGGCAAGGGCTACCGAGCTGACCTCCGACAGGTGAGTGGGGTCTGGCGATATTCGCAACTGCATTCTGCATCTATCACGCCCGCGGCCCGTTCGCCAAATCCCTTCCGCAGCTGCACTAGAACTCCCCGGAACGCGCTCTCTTCATAGACCGCTTGAAGGGCCGAGCGTATTAGGCTTGCCAGATTGATGCTTTGTTCTTTCTTTGTCCTCTGCGCCAAAGTCGCGTGGCTGCATCGTCTGGCCTCGCGACGTAGCATGACCTTGACACACTTGCAATTATGGCTTGATATGGACCGCGTCGTGGATCATGACTGGGCTTGTGCTGACTCGCTCGTCTCAGGTCGCCGTCGCCCGAGCTTCCGCCCTCGCTCGATCCGCCACCCGAACCGCCAACCCCCCCAAGGCTTTCCCCCGAAAGCAGCGAGGAAACAAGAAGGCCTCCGCTCCCACCGCCGCCGGCAAGAAGGAGGAGGACGTCATTGAGCTCGACTAAGCGTCTGGTGGGATTGTAGTCTCGCTAGGGTGATGTCAGCTGTATAACGATCGTGTGGGGTGTGCTTTCACCTGACTTCATTATGGCTACATGCTGTTGTACAAAGGCGACGCCATGTGCAGGAGCGTAGTCGTATTCGACTGTGACTCGCGCTCTTTGAATACAGCTCTTGATCTTCCCAATCACTCGTCCTCCTCCTTGACCTCTCGGAGCGCATCAGCAAACCTCTCCATGCTCTCGAACGTGTACGTCGGTTTGACATGCTCGTATCCCTTGACCCCGAGTATAGCCCCCGGGCGATTGATCCATACCGTCTTGAGACCGAGTCTTCCAGCTCTGGAGAGGTCGTGAGCGAGGGTGTCCTCACAATGAACCACAAATCGACTTACGGCTCGATGTCGGCTCGTTTCGAATTGGCTACGAACAGTACCTCGCCAGGCTGGATGTCGTACTCTGCGTCCAGGTTTTGCAGCACATGGTGAAAGTTGCGAAAGTCAGGCTTGTAGCTTCCGACTGGAAAGGGGTGAGCCAAGAGGCGTGTACTCGAGGAGCAGGGCGGGCACGACTCACGGTCCTCGGCGGTGAAGACGCCATCAAAGCTGCCCCAATCACCTTCCAGCTTCTTCCTAGTCCTACCGGGCATGTCAGCTAGCCGAATGACTCGACGACGCGGTGACGCCTCCCGCTCACTCTGCAAAGCTGTCGTTGTCAACGTTGCTCAGGATGAACAGCTTGACTCCGGCACCGTTGAGCGTCGCCAGGGCTTCTTGAGAGTCCGGGAATGCAGGCCAGGAGCCTACAGACTCTGCAAAGGCTTGGGCGGCCTCTAGAGCGGAGTCAGAGCGCGGTACAGGAAGCCAAGCGGAGCCGATTCTGCCTGGTCCTACCTCGACAGCCGACTCACCCTCGTCATACCATAGCCTGAACTCCCCAGTGAGCAGCCTGTACGCCTCTTTCAGCCTACATAGCGATGTCAGCTGGTCCTCCATCGCATGAGCTGTGGCACACCTACACAGCAGGGTATATCATCGTGTGATCCTCCGCTTGGATACGAGCCTTGATCGCGCCCAAGGCTGCGAATAGCCGCTCGGGCTCTGGGCATGTCTTTTGCGTGACGAGCGGTTGCAGGGCATCCCATGAGCCCTGTTCCCAGTCCTTGAGGCGAGGTCAGCCGGTGCCATAACATGTGAGCCGTGTCACTCACTATCAAGGTCTATAGGCCGGTCGGACAGGGTCAGCTTCTGCGGGATGCTACGGAGGAAGGGCTTACGCCGTAGCAGTCGAATACCAGTGCTCTGCATATGGTCAGCTTGCGACCTCACATCTTCCCCTCTGTATGGCTCACTTGCAGGTCTCCATGTCGTGTCAAGTCCAGCTACAAATGTTTCCCAGTCAACAGCTAACAACATCCTCGGCTGTTAATGACACCTCGCACGAGCGGAGACCCCGTAGATGATGTCTGCCACGTGGGATCGATGTCGACGCTCACTGCCATAGACATGCTTGTATCTGCCTGTCTACACGTCTTGATATAGTATCAGCCAACACCATGGCCGCCAAGCAGCGCCAGGGACCGACCCGGACCCTCTTTGTGACAGTCGGTTCCACCTTGTTCCCGGTCTTGACCGACACGATCCTGTCGCCTGGCGCCTTGGCCGTCCTGGCTCGTGAGGGTGTCACCAGGTTGGTGGTGCAGTACGGCCGCGCGCAGCTGCCCGAAACCCTGGAGGTGGTGCTCGACGCTTCGGGATCAGGCATAGCCCACTTTGATGCTGGCAGCCCAGAACCCATGTCGGTCGAGGTGATGCGGTATACAGACGATTTCAAAGGCATGGTACGGCGTAGCGACGGTGTCATCTCGCATGCGGGTGAGTCACTCATACCGGCGGGCCAGCTACATCGATGGGAGGTCTGTGAAAGCGTTCACCTCTCTCGGCCGCCTCTTGCCCACCTCGACTGATATTGACCCCCGCTGCAGGATCCGGATCCATCCTGACGGTCCTCCGCCAAACCCCGCCCAGACCCCTGCTGATCGTGCCCAACGAGAGCCTGATGGATAATCACCAGGCCGAGCTCGCCGATGAGATGGGTCATCTCGGTCATCTGATGGTCTCTCGCGTAAGGTGAGCCGCTGTTCAGCGCCTTTCTCAGGCTGAGATCGAGGCCAATCCAATTTACCAAGTACCTGTGCTGACGCTGTCCGCAGCGACCTGGTCGACACGCTACCCCGCTTCCTAGGCCAAGACTGGCAGAGCACGATCAGGCCCTTCCCACCGACCGACCCGGCGAGATTCCGCGGCATCATGGACGAGATGATGGGATTTGTGTAGTGCACCTTGGCGATCGGCACGACCGAGGTGCGCCGCCCACCAAGCGGATTGGAGCATTCCGGAGACGCAGGATGGCACAACGGCGCAGCCTTGTGTACCAGAAGACCCGCTCTGGAACTCAACCGGGACTTCTGGCGATCAGCCAACAGGTTGGCTATACCGGGCCTTGCCGAGATCGTCCCGCTGGGACCGGTGGAAACGCCCACACAACACGTAGACTTGTATCGATCCTGTTATAGGGGAGTGCATCCATGCTATCGTGCTATCTACCAAAGCTCCACGCCTTCACTGCGTTTACCCATGCTTGAATGCTTAGTAAGGTCGGGCGGCAGCCTGGCAAGCCTCTGTAGGACGAACGTGTCAGCGGCAAATCACACTTCGCACACTTTATAGCCAGCCACTCACTGAGGGCTTCAAGGTAGTAACCGCATGACTGCATGTCACCGTTGGTGGCCTCGAGGCACTTGGTGAAGTCTAAGCAGGGCGTCAGCACACGCGCCATATTGCCACTCGGTGACCAAAGGCCCGCGTCCTACAAGACCACAACACCCACCCTTGGCCTGGATATCACACGACTGTCCGAACTGCTGCTGGTCCATGGGAGCGGCCTGAGCCTGAGCAGGGGCAGCCTCGGCAGGTCGAGATCCACCAAAGAGCATGTTGGAGATACCGTGACCGACAACGGAACCGGCCATGGCTCCTCCCATGGTGCTGGCGGCCGAGGCGAGCAGACCGGGCTGTCGCTGTTGTCCCGCGGCGGCACCGGCGTGCTGCTGAGGGTAGGCCTGGGCGGGGGCGTGCTGAGGGTACGCGGCGGTGGACGCTGATCGGGTCTGCTGCTGCTGAGGGTGGGACGAGGAGGCAGCGGGCCTGGCGGCGGGTCGGGCGGAAGATCGGGACTGGGCAGAGGTGTCAGCGTTGAGGTCACGCCGCTGCGTGTGGTGCACGTACAGATCGGGGCATGTTGTCTGATTTCTGATACAGTGGGTGATGTATACGCGGCGAACCAACAACAAGTAAATGGCTTATGTATACTCGAGATCGATTCGTCGACAGAGTGATTCCCGTACGGTGGTAAGTGGTAGAAGATTCAGGTTTCAATGGTTTGGCTTACATAAGCGTGTCGTGCCGAGCCGAAGCGCTTGCGCCTGCCTGCCGGGAAGAGGGTTCCAGTTGGGCAGAATCTAATAAACTCAATATGTTCATTAGAGTGACGGTCCCACTCCAATTAGCAGCTCCCAGCTTTGTCCCAAGGCGCAGCAAAAGGAAGGTCTCAGCTAGGCAAACGCGATCCAAAAAGATGTTCCGACACAGGGAATCGAACCCTGATCACCCGCGGGCCACCTGTATGAGAGGCGGATATACTGACCATTGTACTATATCGGAGCTACTTGTCTTCTTGCGACATACGTTGGATAATTCACGCTCTAGACTGAGCTTGCGGCATGGACGTCATCCAAAAAGCAGCTACTGATCGATAGAAGTACGCTATCCTTGTGTGCATCCCAAAAAGGCGTACCGACACGAGGGATGGAACCTCGATCACCCACGAGCCACCTGAAGTGAGAAGCAAGGATACTGACCAATCGTACTATGTCGGCGTTGTATGGTGTTGATTCCAATGAGAGACTATATCAATGGTCACGCCCAAAAGCAGCCAGTCTCAAAAGGCTTTGTGCCCCTGCCAGAGCCATGATGGGTGGACCCTGAAGATCAAGGGATAGCTCACGAGTGGATCATGACTCGGGGCAGTGCGGTAACTACGATGTGTGCGGACCCAAGTAGCCGGTGCCAGGTGATTTCCATGGTCTAAGTATGAGTGTGCGGTGGCGCCCCGAGGGGGAAGGACGAACGGGGGGCGCCGGTGACGAGACCAGGTGTTCAGCTCTAGACAGCGTGAATGCCAGACATATGCATGCTATATGTGGTACAAACAGTTGTCGTGGCGGAGGTGCCGACCTCCGCCTTGGGCCATAGCACACCGCGCTACTCATAATACATCTCCTGCCTCATGACCATGTCCTCCGCCCCGCCCGACCCCAGACCAAAGTTTGCGGTATTGTCCTGCCGGCGAATGACCCCCTCGACGAGTCTGAAAAAGGTCTCCTCCTCTTGTTCCTCGTTCAAGACCTCGTACATCTCCCATAATGTCTCGAGCTTGGCCTGAACCCGGGTGGAAGTGTCGTCGGGAGGATGGAGCGCAATCAGCGTGGGCGAAGCCGTTCCGGAACCGGAACTGCTGGACGAGTCGATGACGGCCCGGGCGATGCGTAACCACTCCATGGCCTTCTGCTCCATCTCGCCATCGTCGACCATGTCCACCGCGGGACCAGTCGACGTGTACTCCTTCCACAGGTCATGCAGCGACGATCCGATCTTGCCCTTGAGCCGGTCCTTGACTTGATCGCCTGTTTCCTCGTGAGGAGTATAGAAGCCCCTCTTGCTCGGCGCTGTTTCCGCTTGTGGATAGCTGACACCGAAGCCGAGCGCGGATGGATCGGCAAACGACGCGGGCGCGTCCCCATTGGTCTTGTCCAGCCCTAGTTGCCGGAGTGACTCGGCCAGCTTCTTCGCCGTCTCCTCCTGGCTGCCATGGGTCGTAGGCTTGGGTATGATAGGCTCGCCAGGCGTCATGGGTGCAGGGGTGATGGGCGCGGTGGCCGGACGCGAGTACTGTGCCCAGTAGGCATCTTCGGCAGCGTGTCCGTCTTCCTCGGTAGGCAGGGTCGAGTCCGAAGGTGACGAAGTAGGGGAGTCATCAAACGCCGCCCAGTATCCATCCGGCGCTTGTCCCAGGTCCATCTCGGCGTTCTCCTCTGCTGGCTCCTGCGTTGACGACGGTGGAGGTATCGCCGACGGGTCCAGTGTCCACACATGCGAGGACTCCACCGGGACTCGCGTCGAGTGATACACCCACCCTCTGCCCTGGTTCACCTCGTCCCCTTCGACAGCGCCCGAAGGCGCACCCTCAAACTCGAACCAGACCTGCACCGTGGCGTCGTCGTACCCGCCCTCCGAGCTGATCCTGACCCGGGCATAGACCTCTTCCCCTTCACGGGTGTATTCGGCCAGACCGAGATGGTGCCCGCGGCTCAGTTCCAGCAGGCGAGAGGATATCGGCTGGTCCGGTGTCGAGGGGAACGGCGAGAGATACGCGTCGAGGTCGTCTTCGCCCGGAGGCAGATAGAGCAGCCGTTGCAGGAGCGAGCGTGACAAGAGCTCCTGTGGGAGCTGTGATGGCGGGAGGAGATGGGGCAGGAGGCTGCTGAGCAGCGAGGCTGGCAGTGGTGGCGGCGTGAAGGATGAGGACGACATGATCAGGGGCAAAGACAAGTGCAATGCTCAATGATGCTCGACACTTCGACCGCGCTGTTTCACACGCTCCGAGACGACCGTGTCCCCGCCAGAAACCACACTCGAACCCTCGGTATATAAACAGAAAGCGTCATGACCCTCTCCACCTTCGGCTTTCGCTTTTCTGTTTTTGACTTTTGATTTTGCCCCATCGCCCAAACGTCATTCCGGCTATCACCGGTTAATTCTTCAACCGACACAAGTTATGTAATCAATTACCCGGTGATCGGGAATGATTTCACTGGAATTGCCCGATAGATCCGACAAGGGGACGTTGATAGCGAGGTGTAACCGATACTCTGTTGGAGGTCGCGACATAGGATCAAGAGGTGCTGGGGAGGCATGTCGCTGATCGCTGGAGCGAGACGGTATGTCGCCGCGCGACAGGTCCCGCGTCCCAGCCGACCTCTCATAACGTCGATTGTACCCCGAGCGAGGGCTTCAGCCGAACTGCTCGCCTTGTCCGGATTGACAAAGGAGGCAGATCACTTGCTGGCGAGGGAGTGGGTGGACAACTTCAAGCCAGATGATGTACCCAAAGACGCGTATCAAGTGGCACGGAGTCGTTCCAGCGGACCCGGAGGGCAGGTGTGTTCATTCCCTTGTCCCCGACATTGTGCTTGAGACGGCTCACACCCTCCTCGCAGCACGTCAACAAGACCGAATCCAAGGTGACGATCAGGTGTGACCTGACACAGGCCAAGGGCAGCTGGCTGCCTCCGTTCGCGTTCGGCCCGCTGGTACGATCGGTGAGGGCAGCTCGTCAGTCGTAGCGCCGGGCGGATCGCTAATTGGATGGCTCATGCCCATAGCCACACTACCTGGCATCCCCGCCTAGCCTGCAGATATCCTCCCAGCAATCGCGCACCGCTTCGCAAAACCTTGCTACTGCCGTGTCCATTCTGCACCACACGATACAATCCGCGGCGTCCAGTGTGATCGTGAATCCTACCGCGCCGGAGCAGAAGCAGCGGGTCAAGGGGTTGATCAGAAAGGAGAATGAACGGAGGCTGGATGGGAAAAAGAGGCTAGGGGCGAAGAAGGCTGCTCGAAGGGATATCTAGGAGTGTCTTCGTAAACACTGGCTCTCCGCCGGGCCTTGGTTATCAGCCAGGCCTTACCCTTGCCCTACTCGGCTGCTGGTCACGGGCGAAATCGACCTCGACAGGCCCTTCCAAGCACCCGCAGTGATTCCGCAGCAATGCTTGCTGGTGCGAGGGGTCATAGACGGTATTCGCGTCGTCTGATGCGCTTAGTCCGGAAACAACGTTAGCGCCATGGCTGTGGCGCCATGGTAGTAGGTGAACGTCACCCGGTCTACCGGATCGCATGATCGATGGCACACCTCACCTAAACGACAATCATGCATGGCGAAATAAATAGATGTTCAATGCCGTTGACCTCACAACGCTGTGCCGCTACTCTGGCCGTTCTCTGCGCCGTTCCAGCTTAGATTCAGCAGTCCCAGCCGCAGTCGCAGTTGTAGCTTTCGTGCTGATCTCGGCTGGTTTCTTCTCAGACTTGGTCGAGTCTTTGTTACTCGGCTTGACAGCGGTAGCCGCTGCCGTGTCCGTAATGACAGTCGTCTCCGCCTCACTCTCGTGACGAGTACGCTGATAATAAGCTTGTATCAGCTGTCACAACTCACGGCGTGGAGACGCTCACTTCACTCACATCTTTCCACCCAGACATGATCCTCGACCAAACCTTACTAGCCGTACGACTGAGGCTCTTTCCCGTAGACCTGGTCCCCTCGGTCATCTTGTTCCACCTGGCCTTGATAGAGTTCCAGAAAGACCGGCAGGCTTTCCTGGTCGTCGCAGCAGACGAGGCCAGGCTCTGTCACAGCACGCAAGGTTACTATTGCCCCTAGGTCGTATTGGAGCACTCCCGCCGGGCCAGCAATCTGCAGAATGGCTCCGCGCCGCTCCTGACTCACCGCTGTGAACGCCTTCCACATCTTGTGCATCTTTCGCCAGAGGGTCCCTTCCGCCTGGCTCTCGCTGACCTGTACCTCCGTCACCTTTGCCTCGGTCTTCTCGGTCGCGTCAGTACCCGTGGACCCGGTGTCAGTCGCGATGACTGTCGTCTCCTTTGGCATCGTCGAGGTGGTCACTATACGATATCTGGGCAGAAATCTGACAAAGATGGAGAGCACGATCAATAGCGAATCCTCGATCTGCGAACGCGTGATACACCGTAGAGTGGCCGGCTTGCACAGTCTCGCGAAGGCGATGGCTGCATGTCAAAAGAGGGGCAATAAACATCTCCGCTGACTTTGCGAAGACAAAGGTAACGCAAAGGTGGCGACCCGGCCGTACCGGCTTACCGGCTGACCGCGCTTGCCCGTACCTAGCAGCACACAGCAACACACCATCGCACACCCTAATCCTCCTCACCGACCTCGACCAGCTGCTCTGCCCAATCGTCCAGCGCCCAGATGGTGAACTTGCCCAGCTCGTGCCACCTCTCTCTCCTGGCCGTCTCCTTCCAGGCCCTCGACAAACCTAAGCAGCTGCGTGTCAGTCTACCCCTGGGTACACTAGCAAACAGTTAAGAGCCAACTCACCCGCGGTGAACGACCACAGCTCCACGTTCCAGCCCCGCTTGAGAGCTTCTCGAACCGCGCCAGGAAACCCATCGAGGTTGAATTGACCACCTCTAGCATCTCCCGTAGCGAGCACCAGCGTAGGCGTCCCGCTGCTCTTATCGACACTGACACCCTTCTGATTGAGCACCTGCAGAATCTTCAAGTGCAGAATCTCGTCCACGCCTTGCTCCCTGTACCTCCTGAGTCCGACATCGCCGTGACCGGAGATGCGCGACTGAGCACGGGCATTCACCTTCATGGACGTCGGATCGGTCACTTCGTCCTCGTACAGCTCCACGCGCTTGAGAACGGAGACCTCCCAACCGAGGCGGACCAGCGGGTCCAGATTTTGATGAAGTGGCGAAGACGCCACAAGGTGCAAGGAGCCCGGGGGAGTCGGCCGACCACGGCGGAGCAATAGGGACAGGGCCGGTAGAGACAAGGTACGCAGATGTCGTGGGGGTAGGGCATCCGACGGGTTGGCATAGAGGTGATGCAACAGGCCATGTAGGATGTTGGAGCTGCATTATGGGTCAATAGTGGTCACGGGAGCAGCTCAATCGATCACTCACTGGTCCACGTAGATATGGCACAAGCCATCGGTATCCCGCACCCCTCTGAATCCCGCTTCTCCTTTACCCCTGACCCGGCCCACAC